AACTTCATTGCTTTGCTCCCCTTGCTGCTCTGTTGCACGCCCTTAGTGTTTCACCCTGGTGTGGTGGAGTCTGATCAGGCACAATTCCTGCACGGTGTCTCCATTGTTGTCCCTCATAGTGTTATGGTTCAGTGAGGGATGTCTTGCTTCATGGTGGGGCTGGCCCTATGGTCCTCTGTGCATTGGCAGCTCTGAGCAGGGATCTCATCCTCAGGGCTTGGTGGGCCATGATGTGTTCCACTCTCTCTGCTTCTCTCTTCATTTGCTCCTGTGTGCTCTGATCAGATGTGCCCCTCTCCCTGAGCTGTAGCTTCAGTGCTGTCCTCTGAAGTGCATTCTTCTTGGAGGGTTGTGTGTGTGTGTATGTGTCCATGTAGTTGGGATCGGGGCCAGCCCTGCATACTTCTCCATTGGTTTCCTGCTTCACGCTGGTATGTTGTATTCACATCTTGGCGCATCAGGTTAAAATCTGGCCCCTCTCTCCCTCTCCTGTGGAGATATAAACAATGCCTTCCCCTTGGATGGGTTAGTGCCCTGATCCCCCACTACCCATGTCTTCTTTCTTTCTTTTCCCCTCCTTTTTACTTGGCTGCTATATGTATCTCTGAGTTGGGTCTGGCCCCTGCCATAGTACCTGGACCTCACCCCAAGATGGATGTATACAGTCGCTTTTCCTCTCCGCCCCTTTTGCATTTTTAAGCTTACCTCAGCATACTCATGTTGTACATGTCCTTTTGTGCTTGGCTTACTTCACTAGCTTAACTGCCTCCAAATCATCCCATGCAGCGATGTGCTTAATGCGTTCACCACCCCTTTTTAGGGAGGCAGTGGTACTCCACACAATGATCCTTTTAACAAGCACACTGGAATCCTATCAGTATCTTCCCCACCCACCTTCTTTTATCCAGATCCAGCAGGAAGTGGTTGTTTGGTGGGACTTAGCATGTCTATGGCTAGAAGAGCCATATAGGTAAATCAGTACATTGGAATGTACAGCTATCTTTATGGTATAAACCTATTTACTGACTGACTTGTTAAATACAGTGATTACTGTGGATTAAGCTAAAAGATAGTTTGAGGAATAGTGATGCAGATAAAGAGTGTTCTGAGTCCAGAAAGAGGGTGATATCTGGGGTTGCAATAATTTAGGCATATTCAGGGTGGAAAAGGTCCTTAAGAGGTGTCAAAGGAGTTTGTGGTCAACTACTAACCTAAAGGATAAAAGTTCAAACCCACACTGCTTCTGTACATAGTACAGCCAAGAAAACCTGATGGGGTACAGTTCTGTTCTGGAACTTTATCTGTATCTATGTGTGATAGTTAAGGTTTATTTTGCCAACCTGCCCCAATAAACACGTGGGATTAATTGAAGGGCGGAGAGGTAAATGGTTCGGTGCGTGTCGCCTTTCTGGTGCTCTGGTCTCTGGTTCTCTGATAGTCGGACCAGTGCGCAGCTGCCTTAGCTAGTTCTCAACCTCAGCTGGCAAGGCTCACTTCCTGTGAGACATCCCTGAGGAGAAGCCACATGGACCTACCCTGGGTACTGGAGAAGCCGCGTGGAGACCCCTGCCAATGCTGAGATGCTTACACGCTCACTGATTCGGCTTTCCTCCTGCAGTCGGCGTTATTGCATGTGTTTTGCAAGTTTGAGGAGGACTTTGTAGATCGGTGTCAGACATATGGGCTAATGTTGGACTTATGGGTTTGGACTGGACTGGGTTGGGATGCTTTCTTTTTTAGACTATTTTCTTCATCCTTTTTTTTTTTTAATCATTTTATTTGGGGCTCATGCAACTCTTATTACAATCCATACATACATCACTTGTGTAAAGCATATTTGCACATTCATTGCCCTCATCATTCTCAAAACATTTGCTCTCCACCTAAGCACCTGGCATCAGCTCCTCATTTTCCCCCTCCTTCCCTGTTACCCCTCCCTCATGAACCCTTGATAATTTATAAATTATTATTTTGTCATGTCTTGCACTTTCCGACGTCTCCCTTCACCCACTTTTCTGTTGTCCATCCCCCAGGGAAGAGGTTACACGTACATCCTTGTCATAGGTTACCCCTTTCCAACCCACCCTCCCTCCATGGAATGCTTTCTTACTGTACACTTACCTCTTGTATAAAACACTCTCTTATATACATCTGAGTTTCTGTGAATTTGTTTCTCTAGTCTACCCAGACTAACACACTATGGAAAATAGTACCTGTGGCAAGTGCAGAAATTGTATCCCTGACCAAATATCTGACACTCATTATGTAGGTAACTTACCATAATATCAATCCTAAAATTCAAGTCAAGCTTATTAGTCTCTTATATAACACATTATGGTACCAAATGGAAATAAGAACACCTTCCTTGTTCTCCCCAATGAAAATTGGTGGTCTCTGAAGTGCTCAAAATCATTTTTTAAAAGTTCCTTCTCTTTCTACACTCAGCAGAGAAAAAGTATACAGTTTTCCTAGACCCATGGAGATGCTTAAATAAGAAATTGTTAGTTTGAATTTTTGAATGATCTCTCCCCGCTGGTAATAGAAATTGTGATGGTGACCCTGCTCAAAGGTGCCCCTCTGTAAGTGTTGCTCATGGAAAGTGCCATACCTGCCATACTTTAGATACCCACCTGTCTGCAGCACATGGGCTTGTTGTAAGTCAGACTCAATTCCAGGTCATGAGTTTAGGTTTCTGGTCAGGGAGTGAGAGAGAATAGAGCTGGGCCCCAGGCATGTGCAGAATTTGGATAAAGCAGAAAAAAGGATAACATGATCAGGAGCACAGTGTAGGAAATCCCAGGTGGGCACAAGCTAACCAGTAGAGTTAAATTGGAGGAGACAACATGGTGAATATTTACTAGTTAGCAATTGTTAAACTGAGTCCAACGGTGGCCAAGCATATCATGTATGTCAGAGTAGAACTTTGATTTCCAATAGCTGATCTTTCAGAATTAAACAGCAGACCATTCTTTGCAGAAATCCCTGGGTAGACTTGAAATACCAATCTGCCAATTACCAACAGGGCCGATGAGTTTGCCCGGGGCATAATGAGTCCGAGTTATGATCTCAGGACAACAAGGACTCTTCCTGTGCTGAGTTCCAATGGATGGGCCTCCAGATGCCCTCAGCAGTTCTAGGAGGACACTTGTCTCCCTGCTCTGATTTAGGGCCATACATAGTATCAGAGCCAGGAAACAGCCAGCCCTCAAGCTGGGTTAAAGATCAGATCTGGTCTGTCATTACTGCCATGCAACTAGGTGGAAAAAGACAATCCCCAAGTGGACACAATTTTTGAGTTACAAATTAATTTAAAAATTTGTGATTTTTCTTTCCAAATTCATAGTCCCTGAGTATTATCTGAGGACCTCTTGGGAGTCTGTGAACTCCTCATTAAAGGCAGCGGGAATAGAAAGGGATCTGTATGGAGGTTGAGCTGTTACTTTACAAAGATGAAAAAAAATTTCTTTAAGAAAAAATCATTCTACATTAGTGGCAAAAGTCATTAATGCAACAGACTATCAGTTGAGAGTCTGGGAATAACTTATGTGGCTATACATATGAATAGATTTCTCCATAAGGACGATATGTAAATGAACAAAAGCACATGAAATACAAATGAAAACTGCAACATGATACCACTTCACAGCTACTGTCGTTGTTGCTAGGTGACCCACAGTGACCTTATGCACAACAGAAACCTTTCCGGGCCTAGCTGAGCCTCCCAATGGTTCCTACACTTGAACTGATTGTTCCAGCCATGGTGTCAGTCCATCTCCTTGAGGCCCTTCCTCTTTGAGGCTGCCCTCTACTTTACCACGCATGCTGTCTTTCCCCAGTGAGTGGTCTCTCCTGACCACATGTCCAAGGTATGGACGGCTGTGATCAAGAAGACAGACAATAACAAATATCTCTGAGGATATGGAAAAATTGGAACCCTCTTATATTTCCAGTGGGAATGGAACATGGAAAATAGCCTGGCAGTTGTTTTTAAAGTTTAGAATAGCAATCCCACTAAGTATCTACTCGAGAGGAATGGAAACAGACACACACACACACACACACACACACACACAACCAAAAGTTCAAAATGACCCAACTGAAGAATGGATGTACAAACTCGTATAAACATACAATGGAATGCTGTTCAGCCGTAAACATGGATGCAGTATGGATGCATACGACCTTGTTGGTAAACCTTGAAAACATTATGCTTAGTGAAGCAGCAAGTCACAAAGGAATCCATACTGCATGATTCTATCCATTTGTATGAAATGTCTAGAAGAGGCAAGTGTATAGCGACATTGCTGTCTGGGATGCTGGAGACAATAGGGATATTGAAATTGATAGCTAAAGAGTATAGGTTTCTTTTTGAAATAATCGAAATGTTCTGAAATTGATTGTGACTGCACAAGCTCTGTGAATGTCATTTTGGCAGTAAACAGGTAAGCTACATAGTATGTGAATTATACCTCATAAACATTACCCAAAAACATAATTATGGGTTGTGTGGAAGACAAAAGCAAGAAGAATATTTAGGCGGCTCTTTCATTAGTATCATGAGTTCCTGAGTCATGAAAATGTTCAGCATTGACTACTAAACCACCAGAGGTGCCTTGGAAGAAAGGCCTGGTGGTCTGCTTCTGAAAGGGAGACGCCTTGGAAACCCTGTGAATCACATCTGCTCCCTGAATCCCAATATCAGACTCAGGGCAAGTGTTTGTGACTGTCGTTGTTGTTAGGTGCTGTTGAGTTGGTTCCAACTATAGCAACGCGATATACAAAAGAATGAAACCTGCACCCTCTCACAATTGTTGTTTTGTTTGAGGCCATTGTTTCCGCCATCATGTCAATCCATCTCATTGAGAGTCTTCTTTTTCGCTGCACCTCTACTTGGTGTTCTTTTATCAACCATGCTGTCCTCTTCCAAGGACTAGCCTCTTGATGACATGTCCAAAGTACATGCGATGAATGAAGTCTTGCCATCCTTGTTTCTAAGGAGTTGTACTTTTCCAAGCCAGATCTGTATGTACTTTTGGCAGTCCACAAATGCATCACTTCTCTGTTCCTTACTTGATATCCAACATGTGTATGAGGAGATTGAAAATACCCTGACTTGCACAAGGCACATCTTAGTCCTCAAAGTAGCATCCTCTCTTTTCAACACTGGAAAGAATTCTTGTGCATTAGATTTACCCAATGCATTGCTTCTTCTGATCTCTCTCTCTTTTTCTTCTGATCTCTTGACTGCTGCTTCCTGGAGCATTGATTGTAGATCCAAGCAAGATGAACAATTTCAGTCTTTTCTTCATTTATTATGATGTTACCTTTTTATCTGATTGGGAAGAATTTTATTTTCTTTACATAGAGTTCTAACCTATCCTACATCTTTAATTTTCATCAGCAAGTGCTTCAAGTCCCCCTCATTTTCAGCCAGCAAAGTTGTGTCATCTGCATTTTGTAGGATGTTAGTAAGCCTTTCTCCAGTCCTGATGCCATGTTCTTCTTCATATAATCCAGCTTTTCTGGACTATCAGCAGTTATTATTCTGCGCTGAGAATGTAGCTTCTCTGGGAACAGAAATCTGCAACCCGAAGATCTGCTCATTTCATGAATTGAGTCTTACACTTACCACACCTGTAGGTGGATTCAACTTGCTTTCCTTTAGTATGAGATTTTCTATTCCAAAGGTTTGTCTCACCATTGCATGGAATGTCTCAGGAGGGTGCCCACAGGGAATATCTGGATGGTCCAATTTTTTACTCTCAGATATTTGGTCATGTCCATGGATTCTGGCTAACAGGCCATGTAATCCCAAACGTTCCCTTCATCTGTGTAAATCTGGGTCATACAGACATTACAATGTCCCCACACCAACGGGAAGGGCAGCATCACTGAGGACACTCTAACCCAAAGGGCATGAATTGACAGGAATCTTGACAAATTCATCTCTAAATCCTTTGCAATGTTCATGATAGCGATAACAGTTTGCTTACCTGTGCTCTGTGTCCATTTTTATAGGTAGGTATGTCTGTGTATTCCAAAGAAAAGGAGAGTGTGTGTGGGCTAGACCTCAAGATGCACACTGAGAACAAATGTGGAGGGTTAAAATATTGTGCACATTTGGGAATATCAAGAACTTTGGCGGAAGCCCAACATACTTGCAGCTTCTTATTTGTCCCAGAACGTGTCTGCTGGATTCGGGTCTGGTTTGGTTGTTGTAAAAGGTGTCCAGCAGCAGGTAAGACTGTAGCAAAGTCATGGGTCTTCCATTAAAAATATGGAACACTTCCTGAATTTGCGGGTCATCCCTGCACAGGGGCCATCCTACTCTTCTCTGTATTGTTCCAGTTTGAGTATGTGCTGCCGAAGCGAGCACTCGTCATCCTTTTCATTGTTCTCATAAAGAAAACAAACTTGGTTATGCTGGTTGTGATGACAACTACTACCGTACCATTTACAGGTAATAAATGTCCTTTTCTCTTGTTCAACCAAAAAAAAAAATCTTTTTATTTTGATTGCGGTGAAAGTTTGGAGAGCAGATCATTGCTTTTATCTTAAACAATTTACACACATTCAGTTTCAACTCATCCATTTGGATTCTTTCATGGATCATCACTTCTTCCCAGTGTCTTCTGTTCTATTCCTCCTTCTTTCCTAACACCCTGTCTTTGAGTGCTTGCTGCCATTTTTATCTTCATGGTCAAGTATTCTAACACAGGGGTGAGTTCAGTTCCAGAGATGCGGAGTGACTGGGGACCATAGTCTTGAGGGTCACACCAGTCTCTACCTCATCAATAAGCCTCATCTCTATTATGATTTTGAGTTCTGTTCCACATTTTTCTCTCACTTTATCCAGGACCTTCTAATGTGATCCTTTATAGAGTAGCTAGTTGACAGTGGTAGCTGGGCACCATCTAGTTCTTCTGATCTCAGGGTCATGGAGATTGATGCTTGTGTGGTCCACTGAACTAATTGTTTCACATATGTCTTTGGATTGTCATCACTCTCCTTTCCTCTGCTGGATAAAGAGAGAGCAATAGTTGTACCTTAGAAGGCTGCAAATGAGCTTTAAAGACCCCAGTAGCTACTTACAAAAGTAGCATATCTTTGTGGACCCTTGTCTCTGTTGACTGTGCTATGCCAATTGACCTTAGTGTCTGGCCCCTAATTTATTGCCTGGAACCCCCAGGCTCAAGGACTCATTCCCTCAAGGTGGTTGGCTATGTCTGAGACGTTTTCATTATTGTGCCTTTTGTATGTTCCACCACATTGACTGATATATTTGTAGCAAAACTAAATATGCATATACATATATCCTGTTATATATATCCATATAACAGATGTGTGTGTATATATAAACTTCCACTCTTCCTCCCACCATCTGTTCACCCTGTGTGTTTACTTAAACATCTAACTGCAGTCCACACTCTTTCAGAATTGTGTATATAAAAGTATTTGCCGCTGTTACTTTTAATTTTTGCAAGCCTCTTAGTGTATTTCCATGATTGCCTCATTGTTCCTATTAATGAGGAAAAATAAGAGCATTCATCATACACATATAAGTACACACACATTCACATGCATATAAAACAACAGCATAAAAGCCACACTTACCACAATGCCAATTATGGCGAAGGCAAGGCAAGAGAGAGGAACTGAACTTCCAGTCTCGTGACTTCTCATGCCTTTTTTTTTTCTTTTTCATGCCTATGTTAAGTTTATTCAGTGGAAGTATATCAGGGAGTAGATCAAGTAAGAAAGAATCTCTCCAAGAGCTTTTTTATGTCCATCGAGCATACTTGTTTCCTAATCACATGCACAAATAGGAAAGGAGATCACAATTTTATTTCTGGGACTTGAGTATCATATAGTTTTGTTAATCTCAGCCACAGAATGAGTAAAAGAACATAATTTCTCCAGGCTCTTGGTCCCCAAAAAAGCCCAGAGTGAGTCACTTGTCAGTTCAGGCATGTTAAAATCCAGCTGACTTAGCATCTTCCTCTAGACACCCTGTGACCTCGGTAATAAATGAACTCTGGAAATTGAAGAAATAATCAGATTGTTGATTGAGGTTATCTGCTTCACCTCAAGCAGAAGCAAATCAGACGGACTTCTCCTGAAGACGCCGAGGGCAGGTGGCAGCAGTACAGGTTTCAGAGTTCTTTGTGGCTGGTTTTCACATGGAAATGAAGACATTTTCCTTGGGGTGAAGGAAGATGTCCCAGGAACCTTAGTTTTGAGCCAGTGTGGCAAAAGAACCCTCAAATTTGCTGAAGAATATCTATTTTCTTCAGTATTTACATTTATCTCCTTCAATGTCCCTTGAGAACATGGGGCTTTAGCATTGTTAAATTAGAGTACTGTTTTCTTACCTCAAATGTGTATAAATCTAAGAAAGGATTTTGAAAAACTTTTTATTGTGATTTAGGTGAAGATTTACAGATTAGATCATCAATTTTACATAGAACCATTTGTACATATTTTGTTTAAACTCATCCATGTGAATGATGGATGTGTACCATTACTTATCCTACTTCTTTCAATGTACCATCACTTATCCCACTTCCTTCAATGTACCATCACTTATCCCACTTCCTTCAATGTACCATCACTTATCCCACTTCCTTCAACATATCATCACTTATCCCACTTCCTTCAATGTACCATCACTTATCCCACTTCCTTCAATGTACCATCACTTATCCCACTTCCTTCAATGTACCATCACTTATCCCACTTCCTTCAGTGTACCATCACTTATCCCACTT